AGCTAAATTCGAGAGTGCCTTCTACGGTCATGGCTGGATCTTGGTTCCTAATAATTTCTGTATGAATTTTCTTAATTACATTATACAGCCATTTAAACTGCGCGCCGAATATTCCAGCCTCACAATTAGTAATTGATTGCGTTGTAAGTCCAAAATTGATTCGGCGCGCAGTGTAAACGGCTGAATAATGGAATTAAGAAAATTCATATAGAATTTATTAATTAGGCATCAAGATCCAGCCGTGACTATAGAAGGCGCTCTCGAATTTAGTTGTGTATTTTTATAAATATTTTCCCGTACTGCCTTAAATTTATACATACCCTCCTTTACAAATATTAGCAACCGCAAATCCTCCAACGAAATGTTGTCCAAAAACAAGTGTTATAATACTGAATGTAAGCTGAATACTTGCATTAAAACCACTGTATCCGTAAAATAAGTCTGGCAGAGTTTCACTCAATATAACGTCCTACATAAAAAATTTTCGGATAATTATTTAATTTTAATATTAATAAGAATAACGTGTATATTACATTAATTTATATTAATGTAATTTAAAACATGTGTGGGAAATTATAATATTAAGGTTAGTGTTTACTGGGATATATTTGTCTTATGCTTATAGATGACAATTATACATAGATAAAGTTTCAACTTACCATTTTGTGAGAGAGAAGTGCACTTTCTTATAAATCTTCTTTTTTTCTTGGCACTGTGATAGATGTAAATATTCTGCTAAACAAATTGTCAAATTTCTAAAGAAATTTTGGTATGATTAGTAGACATTTACATCAATAAAAAACACGATGAAAAACAATTGTAATAAAGTTGCGCAACGCGCAACCAAGTATGCGCGCGCGTGCATACGGGTCGTGAGACCGAGCCGTGTCTCTTTACTCCAACCATCGAGTTAAGCGGAGGCACGATGGTCATATCTAAAAAACGGTCAAGTGGATGAAATTTTGAATAGGCTTAGTCGATTGCTTGGGTTATATTATATAATAAAAGTTTTATTTTTTTTTTAAGTTGAATATTAAGAAAAATATTTCAAGTTTTATGTCAAAATGGGGTAAAATATATGTAAGAAACATTGTCCCGGTGTCTATTAACTGGTTAATACTTTAGACCAGTATATTGATCGACGAGCTTTTCTTTATGGGGTTCCTTTAAAAGAAATATTAATTATTTCCAGGTTGGAGGTTGCGTGGATTCAATTTTCGATCATAATATCATTTACTTAGCTCCTTTGAAGACATAAGGTGTTTCCTTGCATCCATCTGTGTATCTTGTAATTCTCGTTTCGGAATATGATTGAACAATATCGTTTGACAAAATATCAAATCTCAACGAGCGACAGTAAATGATCTGCAAGAGATATTTAATGTATTTTTATAATTTCACAATGCCATGCGTTTAATAATTACGTGTTACGAACTGATAGGTTTATTTAATTTTTAAGTCCGTTTTTGGGTCAATACATTTAAGTATTTTACCCTGGGATTGGACTAGTTTGTGCAAATGATTTAATGAAAAATTATTAAGAATATA